GGAAAACGAAAATACATAAGGTGACTCTGTCCGCCGCGAGGAGGGTGCCTGGCCTGATTTCTCTTTGCTTCTTCTGCCTTTCCTGCTTCGGAACAAAACCCTATCACAAACCTCTGCCCCAGACAACCAGGTTATTCTCACTGCAGAAAAAAGTCACAAATCTCGGGTGTCTGCAGCGTGAAGCGCACCAACAGTTTATATACCTCACACATCTGTTTTTTCGATCTGACATTTTTGCGGCAGTGCCCAAAGGGGAAAGACAAAACAGAATCAAGAGAGGAAAGAATCATAATTTAGAAAAAACCAGCAAATCATTTTTTTTTTTTTTAAAGAAAAACTCTCCATACCCAATACAGATAGCCAACAATTGTCTGGTGACTATCTCGACATAAATTATTTTTTTCCCAGAGACGATTATTACTAGCCATACAAGCTGGCGGTTTCAAGTACCGACGATGGTTCTCCCGCTTTCCAGGTCATCGTGCTAGTGAGTAATCTTCGAAATCTTGTCCTTCACCCTGTATGGATCTGTAAGTCTTTTCATCCAACATCAATTCTAACTGTAGCCGTTACCGGGTATCTGCAGGGATCTGCGGGGGGCCCAAGCGAGGGAAATGTCTCTGGATACCTTATTCGATCCACTGCAACAGCTTGGGCGAAAGGTTCAATACTCGCTGTGGATGCGGGGACCCATATGGCTGGGATCATACGGATCCTTGAAGAGCATTCCTCCCGGTCATCTTTTACAAAGGAGCCCATTGCGTCAGTCTCTGAGAATGCTTCTGGAAATGGGTCGATAACGAAGAGGCCATTTCCCTTTTGTGGGGCAAACCTCCCATATGATACACCTCGTGGTAATGCAGCATATGTCACTCGAGAACTTGTCTCCACTTACTTGATAACCCATCCGCATTTGGACCATCTTTCCGGATTTGTTATCAACACGGCATGTTTCACTCAAACGGAGTGTCCGAAGCGTTTAGCTGCCCTTCCCTCGACTATAGAGGCCATCAAAACTCATATATTCAACGATATCATTTGGCCGAATTTATCTGATGAGGAGTGCGGTGTTGGCCTGGTCACTTACCAACGCTTACCGGAGGCTGCCTTGGAGTATGTGGAGGTTTGCAGTGGTTTGAGTGCGCAGGCGTGGCCGGTTTCTCATGGACATTGCATGAAGAGTCACTACCATCGGGGGAGTCAGACTTATCAGGGAAAGGATGGTGCGACAGCAGATGGAAGCCCGGGCGGTTCTCGAAAGAGGATGTGTGTATATGATTCGACGGTGTACTTTATTCGAGATGATGCAACAGGGAGGGAGGTAATGATGTGGGGAGACGTTGAGCCTGGTCTGTTTCCTTCTCCGCTTGCGGAATTTGTGGCGCTTTGTTTGCTCTACGGCTCCCGCTAGCCTGTTCTATTTTCTAATGTTTGCTTTATGCGACAGATTCGATATCGTTATCGCCAAGGAACCACCCTGCTTGGAATCATGCGGCTGCAAAGTTCCATAGCGGATTACTTAACACAATTTTCATTGAGTGCAGCTACGATTGTAATCAACCCGATGAAGCCCTGTATGGGCATCTATCCCCACCGCACCTGATGGATGAAATGAGGTCCTTAGCGAGGCTAGTTGTGAGCTTGAGGAGAGCGGATGAAGTCGATAGGCGGGCGAGGCTGAAGCGAAAGCGGATGAGTTATGGCTACCACAATGATGACCCGGAGATCATGGCGCGGAGGATTGAAAACCCGAATGCCCCATCCAAGATCCTGGAGGAATCACAGCGTTACCATGGACCTGGCGCTCAAGAAGATGAAGTAAATGGAATCCACGGGAACAGCCGCTGGAACAAAAATTACTTGGAGGTTGATTCTAAGCACAGCTTTGATAGATTTTCGCCGGAAATTTCGCCTAGGGCTGTGGATCCTAAGCCTGCTGACTTTTTCGACACGATAAATGTGGCTGTAGGCCAACGTACGCCTGAGGAAAGGGCTCCCAAAGGGGATGAGGGGGATGAGACATTTGATCTAGGACCTACTCCGCTTCGAGGTTTACATTTGGTTATCACGCACACCAAGGATACCCTATTAGACGATGTCAACGTCCCTGAGGATATTCTCCGGAGCATCCAAGGACTTGAGGCCGTTCAACAACTCGGTGTTACCTTTTCTTTGAGCGAGCAGGGACGATCTTTGTATTTTTAGGCCCGACGGGCGAGGGGTTGTCTGTTTTTCGTGGAAAATAGGCCTCGTGATGGCCGTATTGGTTCGGGTTGTGCATTCTTGGTGTTTGCTGGTTGGGTTGCATTTTTACGGGTTCCGGCCTAAGAGTGGCTTTTCATTTCTATCCCTGGGTTTAGCGGGCTGTTCGCACTGGATGGCCTTTCCCCTTTCTTTCCTACTGGTCTCAACTGGCGTTGCTTTACGGTGTGGCTTTTTTCTTATTTTTCCTGTTACGGGGGATGCCGGGTTTGCTCTTCTTTTTCTCTCTCTTCCTTTTGAAATCTCCCCCATTTTCTCTCTCCTTCTTGGGCCATGATTTTGTGGGTTACCTCTTGTCGAACCTTGGTTCTCGTTCATGAGACGTTAGTGATTTCCTGCTTTTTCGGACTCAGATTGGGGCGGCCGACGAAGATACCCTCTCTTTATTTTTTCTCACTTCACGTTTTTCCTCCATACCCTGATTTTAAAGTGAGCCCCTGTCCGACCGAAGATGTCACATGGTGTGTGCCTGGCTTCCTCTGTGCCTGTTTCTATTAAAGGGAGAGGAATTGTAACATATATGTATAAAATAGCAATATCTCTGGAATCATTGGGGATCACTCGATGGGCTTCTGTTCCTATTTGTTTTTTGTGATATCATACTCGTACTTGCATGAAAAACTAATATTATGATTGAAGGAAGTTGTTATTGTAGCTTTGCGAGGTAAGATTTCTCGGGTCTGCGGATCGTTTGCCATTAATTTTCTGGATGTTTTTGCTCGCCTTTTTTATGGACACGTCTCGGACGCAAAGTATGTCGGGCTGCCTCTGTCTAGTCCTAACTGATGAGCGGTCGAGAATGCATAAATACTGAGAACACAGCTTTATCCCGAGGAGCTGTTCATCGGTGGTCACTCGGGTCTCGTCCTCGGAGCTGCAGGGCACAGCACCGTATGATACGTACAGATTCTCAAGTTAAATCTCCGAAGTTCTCTCACGATACTCATCTTCATGGCGTCGGACGGGCCATCGAGCAAGCAAGTAATATCGTTTTTACTCGGGTCTACCGGTATGATACTGAGCGCCGGTACCGGTGATTACCTTATTCCTGGTCACTGATCCCGCCATACTAGTAGACTGAAGTTCGATCCGATCTTAACTTTACACAAATTCTGAGGGAGACTCTTGGCGCTTACCTTATAGCATGTACTTTACTGTACAGTACTTGTATGATACCAAGTACCTCACCGTTGAAGACGTGGGAAACAATTAACCGGAACAGATGGATATATTTGGCTGAATAACCATAGATAACCGGTCCGTAACTTCTTGCTCGACCTTGTACTAGGTTACTGGACGCAAGGGTTCCACTAAGTTGCTTTGCTCGAGAATACCAGTACCGGTAGTGCCGTAACTTGCCAACAGACGCGCTCAAGCTGCGTTGTCAGCTCCAAACGCGTCTTCCCCGAAACTTCCTCGTTCCCGCCACCACCACCAGTACACTCGCACGAATACACAAACGATGTTTGGCGGAAAGAAGTTCGTGCCTCCACTTTTAAAGAAGCCGGCACCAGCGGCAGCAGGCACGGATGATCAACCTGCGGCGAAGCGTGCGAAGATCGAGCCCCTTGGTGGTGGGAGATCATTGAAACTTGGGGGACCGATTAAGAGGAAGCCGCTACTGCTCCTTAGGAACCCGGAGCTGGGGGCTGCAGTCGCGGCGGGGGAGGAGAAAGGGGAGGAGGGTGCAGCGGGGGAGGCTTATTTTCGTGTGCTGTGGAGGAAACCGACGACGAAGAAGCATAAGACGTTTGATGGCGACGGGGTTTTGGCGATTAGTGGGGGGTATGCTGTGCTTCAGGATACTAGCGGGAAGGAGTATGTTTGTTGTCTATCTATCTATCCATCTTGCTTGGTATGGGATAGGCTGACGGAGTGACAACAGTCTCGGGAGAACAATGTTCAAGCGAACCCTCGAAGTTGGGTCGACTACGTTCATCGCCGGGAAGGAGATTGAAGTCGATTCGGTGCTTTCGAGGGAAGAGTACCTTGCCGGCAGACCGTTTTTGAAGAGCGCTGCTCCACCTCCACTCCCATCGCCTCCGTCCACTACAACGTCGACAGCACCGCAGAAGGAAACGTTCACAGTCGTAGCACCGGGGAATTTCTTCGGTAGCAAGTTCAAGACCCCACTCCTCAGTTCCACTGTTATGGGAAGGACCCATTCGAAAGTGCCAACACCTAGGCACGATCCGAAAGCGGAGGGTGCTCTTGTAATGCCCCGCCCCAACGAGAAGAGTGTACCGGCTGGAAAAGTCGTCGTGGACGTTGTTGTCGACCCGTTTATTTCGCACAGCCTGCGGCCGCATCAGAGGGAGGGTGTGATGTTTTTGTATGAGGCCGTGATGGGACTTAAGCCTTTCGATGGACGGGGAGCGATTCTGGCGGACGAGATGGGGCTGGGGAAGACTTTGCAGACTATGTTGGTTCCATGTCAATCTGGGGGGTTGGGGTTCTGTGATGGTGGACGTGCTGACCTGGTGTTTTCAGTGCGCTTTTGTGGACTTTGCTGAGTGAGTGGGAGTTCGTGATGGATAGAAGTATGGATGCTAATTGATGTAGAACAAAATCCGATATATGGCGGTGGGCCGGTTGTCAAAAGAGCTCTTATTGTATGTCCTGTGACATTGATCAATAATTGGAATAAAGAGTTCCGGAAGTGGCTGGGTAAAGAGCGGATCGGCGTGCTTGTGGCCGATTCGAAAACGAACATTAGGGACTTTACCCATGGGAAAAGCTATTCTGTTATGGTCATTGGTTACGAGAAGGTTTGCCGATTTGACTCGTGTTTTTCTGATACCGTTACTGAATCCTCCGGGTCCTAGCTACAAAAAGTCCAACAGGAATTAAGTGCTGCCGATGTTGACATTGTCATTGCCGACGAGGGGCACAGGCTTAAGACTGAGAAGAACAAGTCTGCGCAGGCTATCCGGGGATTGAAGACTAAGAGGAGGGTCGTCCTTAGCGGTACTCCGCTGCAGAATGACCTTCATGAGTATTTTATCATGGTGTTAGTTGTGGCCTAATGCTGGGCGTCTCGGGCGATCACTAATTTGGTATTTATTTATCAGGGACTTTGTCAATCCTGGACTGCTTGAGAGTTACTCGACTTTCAAAAAGGAGTTTGAAAACCCGATTGTTCGAAGCCGACAACCTGGTGCTTCGAAGAAGGATGTTGAGAAAGGGAAGGCGCGGAATGAAGAGGTAGCTGCTGTTCCAATAGTCTTGTTTTATGGGCCATCACTAATGAGGGAAATAGCTTGCCAGTTTGACAAAGTTGTTTGTGCTCCGTAGAACTGCGGAGATATTGTCAGCGTATCTCCCACCTAAAAGCAAGTGATCTGTGGGCTTAATCTGAGGGTGTAGTTGCTGATGAATGGATAGCGGAGTATGTGGTCTTTTGTAGGCCATCCCCAAGGCAACTTAAGGTCTACAAGAGCATTCTGGGGTCTTCCGCCTTTAGTAGATGCTTGGGGTCTCCTGATGCATCTCTTCTGCTTATCACTGTTCTCAAGAAGCTTTGCAATTCGCCGGGGCTATTGGCTGATAAGCCAGGGAAAGAAACTGTAAGAAAGCCTTTTTGTTCTGTATAGCGGGGTACTGACAGAAGTATATCATAGAACGAGAATGTCAAAGGTCTCTTAGCAGGAGTCAATCCCAAGCTACTCGAATCCAAGAGCGACTCGCATAGCGGGAAGTTTAGGGTTCTTGAGCGCCTTCTCCTGGCCTTGAGGAATACCACCGACGAGAAGATTGTGCTGGTATCGAATTATACTTCTACGCTCGACTTGCTGCAGAATCTCCTCCGCTCTAGAGGCCTTAGCTACTTGAGGCTTGACGGAACCACTCCGACCAACAAAAGACAGGAGCTTGTCGATCAGTTTAATCGGACCAATAGTACTACTGCTTGTAAGGTTTCCCCCTTATATTATTGTATGGAATAGAGGCTAATATGGAGTATAGTTGCGTTCCTACTATCTGCGAAGAGTGGTGGTGCAGGTCTTAACTTGATTGGAGCTTCTAGACTCGCCCTATTTGATTTGGATTGGAATCCAGCTACGGATGCCCAGGCCATGGCGAGAATTCATAGAGATGGTCAAAGGAGAGAGGTTAAGATTTATAGGATGCTTACGTGGGTTGCGCCTTGCGATTATTTGGCGTTTGATGTACTAATTTTGTTTCGAGCAAAGCACTGGATGTTTTGACGAAAAGATATATCAAAGACAACTCACAAAGATTGGCCTGGCAGATTCAGTCATGGACCAGAAGGCTACCGCAAGTAGTTTTACTCTAGAGGAGTTAAGGGATTTATTCTCCCTCGACACGGAGACCAACTGTCTCACACATGATCTACTATGTTGTGAATGCGAGGGCAAAGGTTACGTTGCTGGGGCTGCGGAAACCAAGTCGCCGTTTTTCCAGCACAGCGAGGACGAGAAAGAAGATAGTGACGAAGATGACGAGCCGAAGTATCCTGGGCTAATGAAAGCCAGTGAGGTAGACTTTGAGAAGGTCGAAGAAGACCGCAAGAAGGCTATGCAAAAGGGTAGAGGCGTTGGCGTGGACAAGAACCAGCTCAGTTCTCTGATGGAATACTCGCACATTCTGACCACTCGTCTTCTGGGCAACAGGGGGAGGGGTGGGGAGGAAGACGACAAGGAGGAATACGATGAAGTTAGTATCGAGGATGAAGTATTGGCGAAGGTTATTAGGAATGGAGCGGCGAAGGAGGTTAGCTTTGTTTTTCAAAAAACCTAGACGTACATACGTACATACATAGACCTTTTTTTTATCCACCAGCATGGTGTCTGGGCGTTGCGGGTGCATATTATTCGATTATCATAGGGAGTTGGCATCGTTTACAAGTATGAGACTGCTTTAAACCTTTTTTTCAGCCCTAAAAGCGTAACCTAGAGCCCAAATTCGTCTTGATTTCTCTAACGAAATTTTTGAAAGCGTGTTTCTTTGTTCACAGACCTGCTCATAAGCATCAACGTCCCATCTTCACCAGCTACCTCCAGCCAGCCAACCAACCACCTTCACTTTTCCGAAAACAGAACCAAGAAGTCATTCTGCTACTACCCGCGTTAACTAAATCACAATGTCATCGAAGATATACTTCAATGGTCTCGGTTACCCACATCCTTCGACCTCGTTCGAAGTCGAAGGCGTATTCTGTAATCCACCTATTACCCCTGCAAGAAAGCCTATGGAACCATAACTAATGAGAGAGTTATTGGAGCTCAAAAAGATCCCCTGTCAGTCGATAATGCCAACATCCGTTTGCCGTCCCCGTTCATTTCCCTTGATGCGTTTCCTCCGAAGTATGAAGAGAGGAGGGCGTATCTAGCGAAGGAACATCCTGTGGAAGCTGAGTTGAGGAGGAAGGGGGGCACTACTGCTACGGCTAGTTGGAGCCTAGCAAGTGTATTCGCTTTCCCGGCGGTAGTGTTGAGGGAGTCTAAGAGGGTGATGGTGGATGACCTTAGGGATGTGCCATTTGATATTGTTGTCCGGGGGACCAAAGATGCCATGTGGAGGGCCGTCAAAGGAGGTGCGGAAATTATGGCGGGTTCATACAATTACTCTTACCGGACTGCCGCTGTCGGAGATGCTCCGGAGGAGCGGGGAGAGGGGTTATTTGAAAACGGTGAATCCGGGTCAGGATGCGGAGATGGGCACGAATCAGAAGGGGAGAAGATAACGCACATCGCCTTTCACCGCTCTGCGAGCGTGATGGCGCTCGCAACGTCGTTCTCCAGGGTTCACTTCTTCGACATGAAGACTAACGTGTTCCTCCCGCACTACCTCTGCGCATGCAATACCACCGATCCGCAGTCTCCGGAATTTGTGGGGATAACTGGGCTGGCCTTCGGCGGCGGGAGCACCAATTCCCTCGCGGTGGGATTGGACTCTGGATACTTCGACCTCTGGTACGTTGACCTGTCGAATTCCACCGCTGCCCCGGGCTCATATGGCAATGGGATTTATTCTTTATTTCGCACGCCCTATGATTTCCGGGAATCCCCGACGCCATTCAAACAGTCGGGGATGTTTGGCTCGCACGATTTCTTCAAGACTAGGGCTTCGCCGGGGACCCAGAGGTTACTGAGGGATCCGGACAAAGTCTGTGCAAAGTCGCAGAGGGTTGGGCTTTCGCGGCTGGGGTTTGGGAGGATGAGGGGTCTTGTTGGTGGGGTTACCGCTCTTACCTTCTCCCCGAGGGGGGAGTATGTGCTTGTGGGCACATCACTGGGTGGGGTTTGGGTGTACAGCGTTACCTGGCGGACCGCGGAGAGGCTGTATCAGGCTGAGGGGACAAGCGTTAGCCGTGTTTCCTGGGAGGTGGAGCCGGGAGAGGTGGGTTCTACTGGGAAGAGCGTGATTGTGGTAGGTATGAATAGCGGATTGGTGGTGTACTTGCACTTTTCCGAATCTGCTAGCTGCTCTGAGATCACCGCTCAGCCGATAGAGTTCTATCCAGCGGAACTCATCACCACCCTTTACCGGAGGCAGCGTCCTCGCAGTATCAAAAACTTGATACTAGTGCCTACGCACAAGCCAGCTCCTCCCCCCGGCTTTCCAAGAGAGACTTATCCACAATATCCAACCCTTATTATATCCTTCTCAGGAGCCCCGGGGATATACATCTTCCGTCTAAAACAAAGTTCGGTGCTCAGGGCTGTCAGTCCGCCCAGCACTCCGACCAAAGCAAAAAAATCCTCAGGGCGGCAGCGTCAGCAGTCCCAGCAGCAACCACCCTTAATCCCGACCATCCTCGAGAACATCAAATCACTCGGCAACGCCCTCCTACGTGAGCCCCCGGGATCGGACCCGTACATACCCATTTACAGCACATGCGTCAACACCGACCACGGCGCGTTTGAAAATACGACTATACCTCCGGAACTCAAAGGTAGCGCCTACGGCGGTGTTGTGGAGAACATGGCGCTAGACCCAACCGGGAAGAGATTGATCGTTACCTTCTCACGCGGGGGGGATGAGGAGTCGGTTGTTTGGTTCGATGCTAGAACTCTGATGACCCCGGCTGGTGGTGTCGAGGCTGTCGGAGTGCTGAGGTATGGGAGGAGGGATGAGAGTGGTGGTGAGAAAATGATTTATGGAGATGTTGGGTTTGTCGGAAGTTTTAGAGGCGGTGCGTGCGCCGGCTTGGTAGAGAGGAGTGGGGATGGGGTTAGCCTGTTTCCGGCTTGGTCGAGGGAAGGCGGCTAGGAGGAGGAGGAGGAGGAGGTGGTGGTGGTGGTAGTGGTGGTAGTGGCAGTGGTAGTAGTTAAGACTTCTATTAGATAGGTTAGGTGCGCTGTATTTGGTGTACCTGGTGGGTCTAGGCATATAAGCACGTCTTCAATGGGTGAAGAGGGCTCTCATCTTATGCGTGCTCTGTTTGTCACACTGTTAATTTGAAGAAAAAGGGGCGCGTTCATCATGAACTGGTGGAGAGCAGAGTGACTGTCTGTGATTTCCCTATTGGATGCAACGCCGACCTAACTGTATTGTTCACGATATCGCTGGACTTTATGACTATTTGGGGTCGAATTCGGACTCTGGGATAGGGTGTTAGTACAAGTACGAAGGGTTGCCTTGGACTTTGCGTAATGGCATTTAAGGAGCGAATAATACAAAAGTCTAAAAAGCTGTTTAGTGACCCATATAATAGCAAGTAACCTGGGCCCAATACATCAAGCGAAAAAAGACGATATACCACACCCAATAGATCATTCAATTACTCGTAATGGTATCAGATCAACAAACGCCTGAGGGGGGAAGACTCCCACAAAAAAGAAAAAGAAAAGAAAAGTCTACATTTCAAAGTTCCTCCCGGCCTTCAGCATCGCCACACACCTTCTAACCTCGGCTCTAGCCTCCTCCGTTGACAAATAAGCCTCGGTCAGATGCCTCATCTCCTCCATCCCATCCCACCTCTCAATCCCAACATTCGCCAATCTCCCAGGAACATTAAGCCTAACGTAATTCTCGCGGAAGCGGGCATACTTCCCCTCGCGCATCACCTCCAGATGCCTGGCCTGGGTGTCCGTCGCGAGCTGGAGCAGCGTCCAGCCCAGGTAGCCAAAGCCGCCGGTAGCCCACTTCGCAAGGCGCGTCCAGAAGCCCCGATCACCGGTAGCGTTGGTGAGATATCCGGTTCCGATGGAAAGCACGCAGCGCGGGGACTCGACACGGTGAGCGAGGAACACCTCGTCCTTGACTTCAGCTATGGGATTGTTATTCCTCATGGCGCCGTCGAAGAAGTCCGTTGGTACGGGTGAGGGAGGGGTGACGAGTTTCATAGGGGGGAAGTAGAGGGGCGCGGCGGAGGTCGCGCGTCCAGCGGCCCAGATCTGACAGGTTTCTGATAGGGATGTGCTTGGTTGAGGGTATGTTCTTATGAGCGCGGTTGTCAGGTCTTCGACCTTCACGGCGCAGACGAAGCTATCCTCCTTGCTGTTAGCGGTTTCCTCCCCCGATCGGGAAGGGGGAGAATGGGGACGTACGCATTGCAGGCGTTCACACCGGGGATAATGCACGGGTCCGCCATTGGGGCGTCCGAGAATTTCACGCCCTGGGACTCTAAAAGGGCTTTCTCCTGGGGGCTTATCATCAATCCTACCACGCTCTCGATGCTCTGTTTCAGCTTCTCCTCTGAGAACCAGGGCTTTTTGAAGTAGGCGTCCAAGATAGGCTTCCCAGGGAATTTCCAGGGGCGCTTGAAGATGTCGCCGGACATTTTCTGGTATTTAATTATGCAGGCGTCGACGTCCATTCTCTGTTTTTTGCCCTCTTGTATTGGCATTAGTATGAAATGGAGGGAGGGGAAGGTGGCTGACTAGTCGGCCAAGCATTATCGCTATTAGACTTTTGGATTCGGTTTGATCATGTTAGTATATATACTTGCGGTTTGGATGGGTGAACAAACCCTCCGGTGCTTGTACCGGCAACTAGGTCGAAGTAATCGCACGGCTTCGGTACCTCCTGGAGGTTGTTCTCTCGTTTTATTTCTAACATGATGGCTCGGAGGATGAGCAGGCTGGAGTATCCGCGGACTCCTCCGCCGTCTACGTACGAATACCGCCATGCGCGATCAGCACCGGGTAGACAAACTAGCTATCAAAGTGGAAGGATGGAAAAGGATGGAAAAGACCCCTACCGAGCGAAAGAACCGTAAGTCCTGTGGTAGGTGGTGTAGGCCCAGACATGTTTCCTTGTGTTTCAAAAGTATTTTTTTAAGGTCCCTACCCGAATGGTGAACCGGAGACTCATTGGGGACCGGAGGAGTATTTATGCCCCGCATCCCCTATCCAACTTCACCGCTAGGAAGAGCATGTCGTACAAACGCATCATCTGCGCGTTTTTCCAGGCAGAAACGGCCGTCGCCGTGGCCATCAGGCACTCGAGTACAGTGTGAGGAATGTGTTTCACTCACCCCAGCCCACGATGCTAATAGGAATCGATAAAGATTGCGTTTCTTTTCTTTTCCCTTTTCTTTTCCCTTTAAGTATTCCTGCGCTCCACGGCAGGTGGGGGTCCATAGCAATTGCGGTGAACCTCGCGAAAGTGCAGAAAAATGACCCGCCACAGTTCCCCCCAGCAGAAGGAGAAGGATATGGAGCGAAGGGCAGCTGATCAAAATCCTACAGCCCTCCTTCCGGGGCGGGAGTACAGAGTGCGAGGATGTGCGAGGGCCAGCTCTGGATGGAATGGGATCGGCCAAAAGCGAACAAGGTGATAGGGTATTCCTCTTCGGGAACGCGGTACTGGTCATCGAGTGGAGTTGAACTCCTCAAAGCTTCAAGCTCCCGAGTGAGAATATGTGAGGGATGGGGGGTGTTATGGTGGTGCTTGAAATCCGCTAGTCTGGATTCGGAGATGGGATGTGTGTGATGGGGTTCCCTGGCATGGTACCGGTATCATAGGATTCGCCTGCTGGACCCGGTGGATCTCAGGATGCTAGCCTGTTGGACCAAACCTGCTTGTAGCGCGGGCTTCGGGCCTGATGGGATGCCGGCACCCCCGATCAGAAGTCATCACATCTTGGGGTTGGTACTAGTACTTGGCGATCCCAGCTTTTAACCTCTTTCGTTGCCATAGCAACGCCCTCTGTCCAGGTCCATTCCATGGATTATCACACTGTAGTGTTTTATGAAATGGGTGTTTTATATTAAATTTTTATATCATACCGGTATTTTTATTTTGGATAATACGGGACATATCGTGTAATAGGTATAATACAGACAGGTACGGATATCGGTGTTGGGTTGGGAGGAGCAGGGGCGTTGAGAGGTAAGGCACTATGTGTCGGGGAATCATGGCCCCTCGTGGTTGGTTGGCCAATCGTAAGCGAATCCATGCGATTTTAGCATGAAAATATGTCTGAATTCCTTCTACTCGAGCACGATTGCACCAAGAAGGTTCTTATCAGGCTTCACGTGACGGATATGTCTATCGGCCACACTTGTAGCTTATGATAGCTCTTTTTTTTTTTTTTTTTTAGGGTAGAAAGGAGCCTGTAGGACTACAGTAGGGTACTCCTGCTTATCGGTAGCGGCTCCAAGATACAGGTGCGGTATAGTCTACTACCAGTACTCGAGTACTCTCCCACTGACGAGCCAATCACACCCCCTTCCACTCACTTGCTCTTAACACCTGATACTCGAGTATCTGTACCCAGGCGAATAAAGGGCACTCAAGTTTACCAGGAACCGGGCATCCAAGGGCCACCATCACCTGGTAAGGTGGTACCCGGCCAGTGTGCAGGCCATGCATGCACATATCGCCCACTGGTGATCATCTCTCGTCACAACTCGCACAATCCAGATTGTCTACTATGGGCGCCTTGTATGAGACATCTGTTGCCGTGGATAGCAAGAATCTTCCACCCTGAAACTAGCCTTTAAGGACCGGCATCATTCACAAAAGCGACGTGGGCACGGGAGTGTTGGTATGGCTGGTTGGGAGAGGGTGAGCGAGTATCATGGGACCGCAAACTCTTCTATGCCTATTTTGTATGCACAAGATATCATACAGTGCCGACGGGTAAACTTACAATCCCCAACCCTGCGCACGGGAAAGGTCGGGGTTAAATTTCAAACAGACATAGTCCTCGGTTATGCGTGCTAACTCAGATGGATAAAGTTTCGATGCCCCACTCCCCTCACCCCCTTCTATGATACGTCCCGATCCTCCTGACGAAGCTGCTCACCTTTTTTCCCCATACTTTTTTTACTTTTTTATAGAGAAAAAACTCAAGAGAGCGCTTTCTGTCGATCGCTGATGTCACAAATCCAAGACTACCCCTCCCTCTTCTCCCTTGCTGGCAAGACCGCCGTGGTAACCGGCGGGTCCAGAGGATTGGGATTACACGCAGCAACTGGGTATTTTAACCCCACGCCCGCCCAACAATCACAAGTACTAGTAATGCTATCCAACCTGGCTAATACACCAACAGCCTAACACTAGCCGGCTGCGCCAAACTGATAATAACCTCACGCAACGCCTCCGCTTGCGCCGATGCCGTGAAATCGCTGCAATCCCTCTCGACGGGAGCGACTACCCTCTCCCTCCCCGCCGACCTCTCCTCCCCCTCCGAAGTCGAGCGCTTCGTGAAGGAACTCGCCGCCGTGACGGACGGCAAGGTCGACATCCTCATAGCCAATGCCGGTGCAGTCTGGGGCGAGGCCTTTGACAGGCACTCCGATGCTGCGTTCGACAAGGTCATGAACCTGAACGTTCGCAGCGTGTTCAACCTCATTCGGCTGTGCACACCGCTGCTGGAGAGGGCGGCGAAGCAGAGCGGTCAGAAGGCGAGGGTTGTAACGGTCGGGAGCACTGTGGGTCTGAATATTGGCGCGATTGGAGAACATGGGATGTATGGGTATGCAGCCTCGAAGGCTGCGGTTTTGGTTTGTCCCCTTGTTTATATGGGCCCTTTTTTTCTTTTCTTTTATATTGTAGAGGAGTTGCTTCGGGCTGACGGCGGGATATAGCACCTGACCAAGCACCTGGCTGTCGAACTCGGTCCCCGTGGTATCCTGCTCAACGCGATTGCACCCGGAGTCTTCCCGAGTAAGATGACCAAAGGAATGATTGCGCTTGCGGGAGGTGAGGAGGATATGGGCAAAGGGAGTCCTGATGGACGTATTGGGAAGCCGGAGGATATTGTGGGCTCTATTGTCTTCCTGTGTTCCCGGGCTGGTGAGCATGTCAATGGGGCGGTGCTCCCGATCGATGGCGGCAAGCACGTTGTTCCTTCTACGGTGAAGCTTTAAGTTAGGCCTGGGATACTATGGAAGGAGGGAGGCGGGGATCATGGGGGTTTATTTTTAATTTTAATTTTTCCTCTTGTTACAGCCGAGGTAGCCCATATCAATGGCTGCTCCCATCAACAGACTTCTGCAGAAGTTGATCTTTAGAGCATCACAAGTTGCTCAATTTCAACACCAGCTCCCCAGCAACCACACCACGGTATGACATCCCAACTCGGAAGAATGCCGTAGAGGGTTAAGAGCAACCCTTTAGACCACTCACAAAACCAACAAGCACTATGATATAATACCAACCAATCCAGACCCCTATCCATCCACAGACAACCCATCGGCAAACCCCCCCCCACCGCCTCAGCAACCCAACTTCCGATTCACCGGCAATCACTCGCGTGCTGACCGCACCCATCTGACTTAGTATGATACAATACGACACAATCAGCATTCCACCCCAAACCATTTCAGACACCCTCCCGACCATTCCTTCCTTTTTTTATTTCGTGCAGTGATCCGGGTACGATAGTTACTGCAAGGGTACCATGTACTGTACCCCCCCCCCCGCCAACCGGGAAAAAGTGAAAACCAAGCCCCCCATTTGGCAAGAAACTTTTGATAGGTAAGGAAGGTATCATACAGTACACGAGCTTATCCTAGTAGCGAGCATGCGAGTCTCGAATCCCGGAGCCAAGTTGAAAGGGGTGATGTGGAGGAGGCGGAGGAAAGGTGCTAACCAACTACCGAGTTCCTGTTCCCTCGCTGTGTCATTGTCATCGCTATTCCATTTTATTCATAATTATGGGAATGTTGCGCCCCCGGTCCGGCGAGGGCATGAATGTACAGTACACTATTCTGTGAAAAAGCACTCAAGGGGAGGAAAAGGGAAGATTTCCCTCCTTTCCACCATTTCCCACCTCCCCCATTAAATCCCGGCCTTGGTGATTCCGCGTATGCACCTTTGGTCACTTCTACGACTCCCTCGTGGCTGTATGGCTGGTTACGAGTACATGCCGTATCGTACAGTGCTGTAGGTGTGGGAGGGGAGTGCCGGCTGATTGACCGACGCGGATTTGGGGTTTCGAGAACTTATCATTTAATTGGTCCGTCGTGCCGGAAGCTATTAACTTGTGTGGCTCGTTCTGGAAACGTGTTGTGAACCTCGCGCCGCTCGACAAGAGTCTATGGATAGCTGGACCAGAGCCTAATACTGTGTGGTATGATATCATGGTATCATATCGTAATAGCTCGACTTGCCATACACACAGCTCTCGCTCGCCCTTCTTCTAGTTTCCTGTAAGGCGCCCCCGCGCGCCAGGGGCTGAGCACCGCATTGTTGAGCGATGAATGCGCCGCTGGAGTAGACACGTCCTGGAGAGGAGATAGATCCAGGGCACTGATCACTCATATCTAGTGACAAACTCCCTTCGTGTAGGATAATCACAGCCAGCGATGAAAAAAAAGGTAGGTTTGGCTGTGAGCAAGAGGGGATCCGGAAGGAGGTTACGGATTAAAGATGCGCTCCAGAAGCAAAAGCGATCGAGCGCTGGTACATCGTAGAACAGAAGAGCGCTGTAATGGGATATTCACGATTTATGATACCACTATTGGTATCATGAGTTACGTATAAGCATCGATAAAACATGACGATCGCCCTCATCGCCATTCCGTGCCGGCGCTCTATTCCTTCCATGTACCCTAGCTCTCAAGCCTCACCACCGAGTGACTACTCATGACATAACTAGACAAAAATCACATCACATCGCAACATCGCACAAAGACATCATCCTACATTGTGGTTTTCGTTTTTTTGTGTTCCGCCCAATTTCTCGCCGTCCAACACCATTGACTCCTCGAGTTCCTCACTCTTCTCAATGCTTACCCTCCGTCCGCCCCCCCTCCATACCAAACACTTCAAAGTACAAAAGGGAGAAGTCTAAAAAGGGAAGGAAAAAGAGCCCGCACGCCTTCCCCGTGTATCCCCTATAGCAGAAGTTAAGAAATAAAAGAAAATATTCCATACATGGACTCGTGAAGAGGAGAAAGTGAAGAGGGATAGAAGGTAAAAAATGAGAAAACCAGGGATGGATATATGCTGAGCTTTCCCCAAACGGAAAGGGAAAAAAACAGGAAAAAGAAAGAAGGAAAAAGGAAGATAATATGGGCTTCTGTGGTAAAATGCAAGGTTCGTTATCCGTTGAATCGAGCTCCCAAACGCGCAAAAGAAATGCCGGAAAAAGTGAATCGAGAAGAAGGAAACAAAGGGGGAAAAGGGGAATAAATCTGTAAGATCTAGGAATAGTCAATTTATCCTTCCACAGCCAACTTTTGGACGCCTGATATTGTGTTTGCCAACTCCTGGTCCCCAGACTCCAGGTCTTTCGAGTTGGTCGGCTCCGCTGCAAGGGCATCTTTGGCAGGAGCTATAACCACATCCAGCGGAGCAGCATGCAAAGCGGGTTTCCCCGACTCAGGCCCCTTGCCGCCTGACTCCATCCGAGCTTTCCGGTTGGCGATAGCACCCGTAACCCATTCTGCGACTTCGTTATCACCCTTAATTGTAGGTGGAGTTCCCGGGGGTTGCCCCTCTTCGTCCTCCTCTGAAATGGTGGCCGGGTGAGTGAATTCTGACAACCAGGGATGTCGGAGAAGCATGGCATATGTAGGTCGTAGGTTTGGAATCTTATTTAGGCAACCTCGTACAAAGTCACGGGCTTCTGCCGAAAAGCCCTTCTCCGGTAGATCCGGAGGTTCGCCATCAACGATAGCCTGTTTGCCGGTATTTGTTAGCACGAGAATCTTCGCCAATAAACATCGGGAGTCTTACACTAAGCTGGCTGAAAATGTTGTTGTAGGTTTCCGGTGGATATGGATAACATCCCATCGCGCATTCTAGGAGACTCAGCCCCAAACTCCAAATATCACTCTGTACACTATATGTGCCTGGCACTGAGCCACCCATAGTAGCCTGGGCACTACCACTGGCAATTCTTTCGGGCGCCATATAACTTTGGCATCCAATGTTTGTCTTGGCTATGCTAGCAACGAGATTTCCTGAGACACCAAAATCGCAAAGCTTGATTTCACCTCGAGTGTTAACGAGAATATTGGTTGGCTTCACGTCTCGATGTATGATATTGTGGTCGTCCTTTAAGGTCTTGAGCCCCGTAACTGTAGCGTAAGTGAGTTTCCGCAGCACATTCTCAGGGACACCATCTTTATAAAGCTTATCAATGGAGCCGCCGTCCATGTACTCCATACAGATGTATACAGCGCCCTCCTGGAAGAAGGCACCATAGAAATCTATGATAAAGGGCGAAAGGCAGCGATGGAGAACGTCTAGCTCCATAATGATTTGTGCAAACTTGTTTTCGTCGAGCTCAAGTCGGATTTCTTTCATAGCCATCTCTACTCCCGTTCCGCGCGGGGCCGGGGATTCCTCGCCGGTAGTGGAGCCAGCGGGTGACGTAGAAATAGATGAGCTGAGGGAGCCTGGCGTTGAGAGTGCTCCATTCCGTGACACTGTAGGACACCTGTGTACAACTTTGTGCACTGTTCCATAATTGCCCCTCCCAAGCTCCTCCAGTTGGTCCAGCTCCTCCAAAGAGATACTAAAGCTACTGCCTGAAGAAAAATCCACACCTTTACTATGCAAAACGGCCTTTCCCGCAAATTTCAGACTTCCGGTCTTAGCATCAACATATTCTGAATATTTGTCGAACAGCGATCCTTGAACGCCGTCCGTGGGGGTGGCTCCGGTGCCACCATTGGTAATTGGACTGCCCCCACCCAGAGGTCCAGGAGGAACTGCTCCAGGAGCTGGCGGAAGGCCTCCTGGAAAGCCCTGCATTCTCCGTCTCTCCATTAGGGACATCTTTGGTGGTCCCATACGTCCGGCTATTGCCGGAGCGGATGTCCAACTCTGCGGGGCGGCTGGCCGACCGCCAGGTGTTCCAGTCATCCCGCCAGCAGGACTAAAAGGAGCACCGATAGGGCTCATAGCAGGTCCAACTACCTGAGGAACCCCCGTCTGGAGCGTTGGTGCGCCTCCGCCCATCGCCGCTGGTGGGGCACCTCGTCTTGAAGCCTGAAATGCTTGTAATTTTGCCTGTACATCTTTCGGCAACCCCCCGGTACCGCTTTTGGATGCGAAAGGAACCTGTGATGGGCCAGGTCTTCGGGCCGCATTCAGGGGGGCGAGTGGGTTTGGGCTGTGTGGGATCGTTTTGGAATCTGATATTGAACGAAGAGAGGGAATGGTTCGGTGGGGTTGGGATGGTGGTGGTGAGGTTGTTGTGAAAATTGATGCCGAGTCGCCAAAAGGATCGGGGGAAGAGGGCGTTTCGGGATCTTCTTCTAATGGAGATGACATGATTGAGTTAAAATCCGGCGATGAGAAATGAGGGAGAAGGAACGGTATTCTGTTAATGCCTATCACGATGGGTGTGGTGTCCTCGTCGGTGCCGTGCTTTCTTTCGCCGGGGTGGAATGCAGTCGTAATCTTGGCGCAAGAGCCACAACAAAGTTCCAAGCTCACAAGAAAGAAGGCAGAATAGCGGAGGCGTGAAAACCGAGGCGTGAAAAATAGAACAACCAGAGGAAATGGGGGATAATAAAAGGAGAGGGTGGAGGAAGGGCGAGGGCAGCGGGTGAGAAGAGAAGGAAGAGAAGGAGAAAAGATGAGGCGAGGTGAGGTGAGGACGGGCAGGTGCTGAAAATGCTTGCCCCATTTTTAGGTGAACAGGGAGGAGGCCA